TGTGGCATATGCCTTGTTTAATTGTGAGTGCAATGACAAGTCGTTTTATCTGTCTGGCCCATATTTATAGCCCATATCATATGTATGTAGGGTTTCTTTCATATAGCAGTGCCAAACCCCCGCGCGCGGTCCGCAGAATCGTCGCTTGCCGCCCTCCCCCCACCGCACCCGCTGGCTTTACAAACCCGCTGTCGTAAAAAAAAAACACCGCTACATTGAAACCAGAATTGCTAGGGAAAATGTTTGATGTTAACACGCCTACAGTGGATGTCCCAGATGCTACCAAAGATTTGAGCGAGACTGCACAATATGCCGCATTGGTATCCTCAAAAAACCGTAGTGGGAGGTGTCGCATCGCCCGCCATCCCCCTCCCGTCAGGGCGAGTAACTTGTCCAGACGGAGCTATCCGCCTGATGTGAAGTTATTGACAGACTTCGATGCAATTTACTTGTTGGGTTATGGCAAAAAGCGCGCACTAGTCAAAACGTGTCGCGCCAGGCTTGGAGCATGCGTAAGGTATGGTAGATAGTTTGATGACGGTTGAGATGGGGCTCGAAGCGCGAATGTGATTTCCATAAGGGGGCACGACCTCAAGGAGGCCACCATATTTGACGTCATTCCCAGTGCCGCTTGCTACTGGCTCGGAATCTGCCATATATTCCGCTGCCCTGGCTATCGGGTCCTCCGTGTTTTATTTGTTTTTTTTTTGCGATCGAGAAAAACAAATCCAGCTGTAGGCCGAGTTTAAACACAGGACCCCGGCAGGTCCCGAAGGTGGAAGGAAACTCCTGTTGTGATTGGGCTATCTTTTTTAGTCTAGAGCAGATGCGCCTACTTTCCTAGCAGAAGCACTCATTCTGCCATTGGTACAAGGGCAGTCTATGACTAAACGCTTCGGTTATGTGCATGATATTGAAAATTGCATGTGATGAAATAGATTTTCGGTGATATGCTGATTGCTGATGTCGCTGATAGGCATGGACTTAACAACCGTTTTGTCACATGGTATCGTATTACGCTACTGGCGACAATGTTTCTTCCCCAATTTGGTCGACGACAAAAAGTAAGCTATTACCACCCCTGGTCTACAGCTACGCCAATTTGGCGCGGCTGCGCAGTGCCGTTCAGAAATCCGCTTGGAGAAAACTTTTGGGAGGGCCGGCAAATTGACCCCCACCCAAGCGCGTGTGTAAGGTCAGAGGTAGGTCACGGATGTTAAACAACTCTGATCAGCATTTTGTCCTGAGGAACATACTATGTGGTGTTATTATTTGCGCTTTTTAAATGAAAAATCGAAACAATCTCGTAGGTCTTTGTCCACCAAGACCTTGTAAAGATGCAAGACCATGTAAAGTCAAACCAGTTCTCTGACCTAAAATGAAAACCTTCTGCCTAAAGCAAGTCGTTAGATTCAAGGTGGTCGCATGGGTAGAACTGAGTGCACTTCGGACACCAAGCGGAAGTTTGACCGTGTTTGAGCTTATTTAACCCGAAGGAACATCATGACTTAGCGACCTCAACTTTGAAAAAAGTAAGTTTGCATGAATATCAGCCCACCATGCGCGTTTGGTATTTCTAGTTCTCTTAGTATTTGAGATCTCAGAGGTGAACTTGACTCCTCAACTGAACGTATGGTATTCAACCGGCCTCACAGGTGCGTGTTTAAACACTGTGTGCTGACTTCAGAATCCCATCCAATTAAAAGGTTCACACCGAATCTGAAAAAGTAAGGCGCAGGTGGCGCAGATAGCACGGAACACGCATACACACATCAGTCATACTGGACGGTAATCTAAATTATCCATTCTTGAGACGCTTATCTCCGTGCCAGTTGTAGCCAGCTGTCGTCACGCTTTGCTATTTATGTATTGTGGTCTTTTACTTTGCGATGGCTTGAGCAGGTGTGATTTCTTTACCTTGCCTGGAGTGAACGCTCGGTGCGCGGTGTTATTCTCCAGTGGGTACACAAAGAAAACGTCGGTGGATCCCGCACGCGGATGATAAACAAACCGAAGATGTAGTGAATCACTTGCTATGATGTCGACATTTGGTAAAGACTCTCCGCGTGACTGTGCTGGTTTGAGTTCTGAGTGCTGCCAGGTGCCGTGCGCTGCGTAACAAACGACACATGCCGTGCCAATCCTCACGCTCACTAGCGCGCGGACGCGCGAGGCCATCAAACTCAGGATATGTCGACATGCTTCTACTTTTCAATGACCGATCTACTTCTTCAGGCACTTTAACCGAATATCGCTTTAGTTGCGTAAGCATTGCTTAAATTCGGGCCCTACACGTTAAATTTGAAATCGCAGTATCATCAAGCTCCCAGGTCAAAGTGACCAAACAGAGAGGAAATTATGGCTGCGATGTACGCGATGATGCGCGACACATTCGACGGTAGGTGTGTTTTTAAGGACTTTGGGAGCGAGGTACTTACGCGATCGCAGCCAAATGACTTCGTCTTCTCCGGCGAGCGCACCACACACAACACTTCCGGTTCGACGTGTCGCGCCAACCACAGCCTTAACACAAACGCAAAATAGGACACGGCCTAGAAATAAGGAGAAACGCCCTCGTCGAGCACGAGTGGCACACAGCTCGAAAGTGCTCACGCTTACGTTCGCGACACGCATTCAGCACCAGTCTTACTAACAGCCAGACACCTTGCGTGAATGGTACCAGATGTGCCGCATTATGACTGTTGCGAATGTGTCAGCGTCCATACTGTTTTTGATCATTAGCAGAAAATAGCCTGCAATATAACGGCGATCGCGTTGTATGACGTCTTCAATGCCACATTGATTTTGAAATAGTTTCCCAAATAGGCCTTTTCCCATTCTCGCGGGCGTGTCGCTCAGCAAACAGAGTTTTAGGTCTTTAAAAGGGCATGGCCGTGATCTGCATCAAAATGTCCTCAAGCTGGCTATTTCAGTTCAGAACCCCACACAAAGGTCGAACACCCCCTTTAAATAGCGTCGTAGAACCACACTTGACCCCATATGTGCCAAAGGACGCATGCGGTCGACGAAACTCAAGCAATGGGAGCATAAGCATGCCAAGGTAACAGGATACAAATATATTGAAATAACTATGCATTCCTTCTGCAGCACCTGTTTTCCCTGTGGTTTTCACCTGCAAATTAGCCATTTGACCCCATTTGACCACCGGAGTCCTCAAATTTTACAACGATTCCAGACTACCATGCTTACTGGTGGAGCTCCGCAAGGCCAGTTGAAACCAACTCTCGACTTTGAAAATACTGTATTGTCATTGTACTCGGCCAGCTTGCATCAGCAGCTTCTAGTGGGCATTTGCATATAAGAAGTAAAAAAAAAACGTATGTGTGGCGTCTGTATTCTTCACTACCTCAATATGGAAGCTGTTGGTTGGCAGTCTGGTGGAAATCAGGATGCAAGGTGTAACGATAACAGTGCCGAATGCAACCTTGTAAACACGCGCCCGGGTGGGGGTCAATTTACTACCCCCAAATTGTATGCAACGTTGTGTTAAAACGACGAGGCATAATCGCACCAAATTTTGCATGAATATAGGCAATTAAATAACATATTTTTGGGTATAGACAAATAAAATGTACCTTTTAAGGTAGCTCACCTATAGAAGATCAAATTCAGGAGTTGCTGTCAGCGAAGGCAATTTCCAGGGAACGTTCAAGCTGATGCACCAATGAGGTGTTAGATGAAGCCACACATCTGTGAAATAGTTTCTTAAACACAAAAAACAATTGAACTAATGATCACAACAAATTTAATTGAACTAGGGTCAGGCATAAAAGTCGGACCGAAGCCAAGGTCAACCATTAATTTTTCTGGAGAGCTTGCGTTTAATGTTAGCCTCTTATTTACAATACTTGAAAACAAGGAGCTCAACAGACATCTTTCATGAACTTCCTTAAGTTCGGAGTATGTCACTGGCCTAAAATGACTCAGATCAATACTGTGCTTTTAGCAACTTACCCTCTAGCGTAATCCTTAACGCTGATTTAAATTGGAAAAATCAAAACAATCTCGTAGGTTTTTGATCATTATCAGCTTGTCAAGGACAATCAAGGTCACTGACCTCAAAAAGACACCAGTGACCGTTTGCTTAGAACAGGTGTCTAGGCTCAAGGTATTTGCATGAGGAGTCTGGGTGCACTTGGACACCAATCAGGAGTTTAACATTGTTTCACCTTATTCAACCCGAAGGGCACGACCTATGGACATCAATGTTTGACCAAAACAAGCTCATATACGTTCCAACCCACCCGGTGAATTTGGTGTCTCTAGCTCCCTTAGCATTTGAGATATCGGAGGGATCAAATTGACGCCTACACTCGAGCGGAGGGCACTCAACCGGCCACCCGGGCACGTGTTAAAGGAATATACAAAGACTACGGTGACGACTGACGGGCAGCAATTGACCTTCAAACCTTTCTTAATGATTTTATGGCTGAGCTCTCAATTCATGGCAAAAAGGTTTCGGGTTTGTTTTCAGCGAAACGAGACACCTTCGCCAAACTACGACGCTTCAGCGCGCACTACGCACTATGGTGCGCAGTGTACCATGGGTCTTTCCGTGACAACCCAGGGATCATTGAAGCCGTATCGACCACACCTGTAAGCGTTCCGTGCCGTGATCTGTTTGAGAGCGACTCTCGTGTTCCTGTCAGCAATCTCGACTGCCTCGACAGGCCGCTGATCTGGCCCCGAATACGCTGTGTGTTCCGTCGGAGCCGACAACAACTGAGCGGATCACCGCAGCCATCGGGCTATTTTTAAGGCCGCCTGTCGCGTCCGTGCGGCGGCCGCGGAGGAGCCCGATGCTGTTCGGCGACGGCGGCTGCCGGCCGAAGGGGGGGGGGGGGGGGGGCGGCGCGAGCGCCGGCGGCCGCGGCGGCCGGCGCTGCCGTCAGTGCGACGCCACCGTCAGTAAGGCGCCGGCCGCCGCGCGCTGAGGCGGCTCGAGGAGGGTCGCTCGTGAACGCCGCCCAGCCGCCACCATGTCGAACCTCACTAGCGAGCTGACGACGGCGGCGCCGACGGCCGACCCAGGGTTGGCTGCTATGGTGTCGGACACGCGCTTCGTCATCCAGCGCGTGCTGACGCCGATGGTGATGCTGGTGGGCGTGATCGGGAACCTGGTGAGCATCATTGTGCTGACGCGACGCCGCATGAGGAGCTCGACCAACAGCTACCTGACGGCGCTGGCCGTCTCCGACACCCTGTACCTGGCCATTAGCTTCACGCTGTCGCTGAAGCACTCGGTGCCCGGCATCTCGCACCCGGACTTCCGCATCTACTGGCACTACTGGCCGTTCGGACTCTGGCTCATCGACGCCGCAAGTAAGTCACACCGCAGCGTCACTGCCGCGCTCGCCGTCACACGTGGCCGTCATGTGTGGGGCCGCCTGTGCGTCACACGTGGTCGGACACCCGCGCCGCTCGGCGCGCGACGCAGCTCACGCTACGCCTTTATCCAGGCTGAAATCACCAAGCAGTCTCGCAAAAAACGGCCATGAGAACTCGAGAAAGTTCCTCGCGCCGTTTTCTTCCAGTATTCGACGTTTATTTGGAAGACGCTATGCTTCACTTTGCATCGGATCTCAGGAGATGACGTCCCCTCCACAGATACGGTAACTCGACTCTAGACAACTTCAGAACGCTTAAGTGGGGTGACGCAACTGCCTTGATTGGGTCGCGCGTATTATGGAAGCTCCGGTAAATAAGTCGGCTCCGATACTCCCGAAACACCGGTTTAGTTCGGTTTTGTCCATCCACTATTGCGTTGGGGGAGGAGGGGCTTTTAATCCGTCCAGGTTGCCTGCAATCTATGCTTAACTGCGTTAAGTGGTCTAATGGACGCACCTATTTGCTATGCACTCCGCGAACCGGCTAATGCAAATCGACCCGACGGCAGGTGCTGGCAAAGCTAGTTGGACCGTGAGCTGAACGGATGTTCGGAGTCGGAACCATGCTTGGCGAAGGTCTCCAGCGGTCAGGTGGCCCTGCCGGGGCCTTCGCTAACCGCCATCGGCCATAGGCCCGCTTTTCACCGTCGGGGCCTCTGCCGACCGCCACCGGCCATAGGCCCGCTCCTCACTGCCCACCGCCATCGGCCATAGGCCCGCTCCTCACTGTCGGGGCCTCTGCCGACCGACCACCGGCCATAGGCCCGCTCCTCACTGTCGGGACCTCTGCCGACCGCCACCGGCCATAGGCCCTCTCCTCACTGCCGGGACCTCTGCCGACCGCCACCGGCCATAGGCCCGCTGTTCACTGTTGGGACAATTGCGGACCACCACCGGCCCCCCGCTGCTCACTGTCGGGTCCTCTGCCGACCGCCACCGGCCATAGGCCCGCTCCTCACTGCCGGGGCCTCTGCCCACCGCCACCGGCCATAGGCTCGCTCCTCACTGTCGGGGCCTCTGCCGACCGACCACCGGCCATAGGCCCGCTCCTCACTGCCGGGACCTCTGCCGACCGCCACCGGCCCGCTGTTCACTGTTGGGACAATCGCGGACCACCACCGGCCCCCCGCTGCTCACTGTCGGGGCCTCTGCCGACCGCCACCAGCCATAGGCCCGTTCCTCACTGTCGGGGCATTTGCCGACCGCCACCGTCCATATGCCCGCTGTTAACTGCCGGACCTCTGCCGACCGACCCCGGTCATAAGCCCGCTGTTTACTTTCGGGGCCTCGCCGGCCGCCACCGGCCTTAGGTCCGCTGCTCAGTTATAACCGCACTCCCCATGCTGCTACCTTTGGCGCCATGTATCACTGCGTCACACGTAGATCGAAGTGCACGACCCGTGCACACATTTACGACTTAGTTACCTGTTGACAGCATGGGGACGGTGTTTGCACATCGAGCACACACCACGGACCTCAACCCGACCGCAGTTGTCCGCCTATCTCAAGATATCGCGGGCGCTTCCAGCCGAAGTTGGGACGGCAGTCGCGGCTGCGGCTCAAGTTTTCAGTCAACAACCCAAGGACTTTGGGCCGGCCTGATTGGCCGTACAGCTTAAAGTGTGCGAGTCCGCGGACTTCCTGGGCGAATAAGACACGCTGCCACCGTGATCCAACGCAAGGCATAGCGCACGACGGCCGCAGGGAAAGTGGTCGTCTTAGAAAACGTAACATTTCACCACGTTATAAACTCTAGATGACATTTCCTTATGTTGCTCGTACTGAGGCCGATTGAAATAGTCTTAGTGCGATAACTCCAAACACTACACATCTCTTTACAGGGAATGTCCCACCTTTGGGCCATGTTTCAAGAACATATTCTTATGCAATTTTAGGACTCGTGACGTATAGTAATAACATTGACTGCTGCCACTGTAGCACCGTTAAGACATATAAAGGATATTCATTTAAGCTATTTTTAATCTAAATTGACTGCCAACTATTTGACACAGCGCTGCGCTTCTTCCCTGCAGTTGCGACTACCGTCATCAGCGAATAAAAAAACGTCTGTGATTGGGCCAGCGAGCAAGGGTATGCTGCTGAGAAGCTCACGGAACAATTGCTTCGCGCTCGCATATCTTTTTGTCGGAACAAATTGCTTCAAACTTTCGAAGTATGTATCAGATTCATGTTTTGGCTCAATGATATTTATCCTGCAGGGTCGGCTACTTAAAAGCCAAATTCTAAGCTGTTTAGAAAGATTTCGAGAAAACTGGTATTCTGGTGAGAATGCTGTCATTTTCATAACTCAGTCCCCCCCCCCCAACTCATTTCGCAAAACTACGCCCCAGACCAGGGGTGTAACTTCCTATTCAGTTGGGGGTGCTTTAGCCACCTACCCCAACTTGGGTTCTAGTCCCCCACACTTTGAGAAATAAGTTGGTCAAACCCAGACAGAAACGTGTTTGTTGACATATTTTGGATTAGGTCGCGTTACTTTTCGCTAGTGATCCTCTCCCCGCAACTTATTTTATTTTGCTAAACTACGTTCCTGACATGAAGGACGCCCGCCGACGAAAGCTTGCGACGCCGTTCAAGGGACATTTGGTGCAGCGGCATGCATATGTTCAAATTCTGAAATTAGCGCTGCCTTTCAGATCGAAGTTTTGGGGCTAACCGAGATTGCAATGAAACAAAATTGTGGAGTCCGCACAATTTAGAAACTTGCAACCTACCTTGAACACCATGATAAGCTCGTGGTCTCTTGTCTCATCGGTGGGATAAGTTTTGCATGTGGTTTTGTTCGCAATGAGGTGGCTTTCGAAAAAATATGTCGCGTTCATAGACTTACCACCAAGCACGCCGTTTGGTATTGTGGTTGACATCCCCATTCTGTAAGATATCGCCATTGATGACCAGCGTCGAAATGTCTTCTGAACGAACAACTGGAATAGCCTATGCATGTGCAATAATGCGTCTGATGCTTCCAGAAAAAAAACTCCCGAAAGAAGGGTGACTAGATGATTATAAGCAATATTCTGACTACGTAATGCTGATGGGAAAATGAAATAATGCTGACTAGATAATGGTTCTGGCTACGCATATATGCTGTTTACATAACAGTCAAAGGCACAAAGTTTTCCGTTTTTGGATGGTTCATCTTCTACTTAAAATGCGACGATAGGCATGTTAAGGGGTCATTCTTTACTTTGCAATTAATGTGAGACTCCAAAACTACCCACCATGTGTTGCAATGACAACAACTAGAATACCACAGCTCAACAGTCTGAGGCATTCAAACTTAGTGTATCAACCCCGATACTTCCTTTCAGCGCCAGGATCCCGGCGTTCTAGAAAATACAGTCGCGCTGTCATCGGTGGCCTATGGTTGCAACACATTGATGTACCTACATTGCACATTCCAATTAGCTGATAGTTGTACGAAAGACCGACCAAGGTCCGGTTCCCGGCTTCCGGCCAATCAATCAGCCAGCCGCAAGGAACGACTAGCTGATCCGGGTAGCCGACCAAGGTCGTGAGAAGTTTTTAAACTGTTTAGAAATGTGTGCACAGGGATGTGAACCGTAAATCTGGCATACAGATCTGATGAGGAATCAAATGTGATTAATCTGAATCCACTCCGTTTACGATTCGGCCACAATCATAGACCCCGTCAGACGCTAAGTGGATAACTAAGATTTTAAGTTGATTAAATGTGTGACTAAGTGTAAACTAGCGTGTAATTGAAAGACGTTCACGGGAACTTTAATCTTGTAACGCTGTATATTCAGCTACGCTAGCTTTGGCCAGCCAGAAGTGGCTGGTCGCTTCGCAGCTTGATGATACGGTTCACGAGACACTGCTGAAAATAAATCTAGCGAGTAATCTTGGAGTGGCACGATAAAAACAGCATCAGACGAACACACATGATATCCCCAACCAGAAGCGACTCCATCACGAATGTTTTTCCTATCGGAGTATTGCTAGATGTGGCGGGAGGCGTGTTGTAATGAGTATGCAATAACACTAGATCGGCAACACCCATGTTAGATTAATACAGACGTGTGCATTCAGAAGAAGTGCATCATGGCAGCAAAGTATCAGTTATAAAATGGTATAGACTCGCAGGCAAACTGGAAAAACGTAGGTAAAGCGGACGAGTTACGGTCAACCCAAGGTTCAAAAGGTAAATCCCTGAAACGTAGGTAAGGCTGCGGGGCGATGAACTAGTACTTTGGCAGGCGTTAAACAGTACTCGCCATGCGTTATTTGCAAATCCATTGAAGTGATGCTATGTTGTGAATTACCACATGACATTGGACACAGTATTGTATGGTTATTCTGCGGCCATACGCTCGTCAACAACGCGTTGCAATGACGCCATTAACGATGGTGTCTATCACGTCTTCCATTTAATATCATTGCTGAGGCATGGCGCTTTGCCATGGTTACAGCCACCCATAAACAATGTGTGTAGAAGTTGGCTCCTTTGCTAGCTCAACTCTCATCCTGATATGCTTCTGCTATTATGCAAACCGGTATTGGTAGGAAACGACGTCGAAAACTGTTGTTCTTACAGTGGGGCCATATTTTAGGCGTGCCGGGTTCCGCCGCTGGACTTTGATCCGTCGCTGGTGAAAGACAGCAATGGAGGCGCAGTGGGTTGGTGGGCATGTATGTGAGTCGTCACGCTCGCGTTCGTTTGGGTGAAAAATGTTCTAATCTGCAGACAACGTACCTCATTTGGTACCTATGCCTATTGGAGTTGTTACTGAAGTCCTGCAGCTGTGCGTAAAGATTCCCGATGAGCGACCCCTTTCAGATCGTTAAAATGTCTGCAGGTGATTTGCACCATGATACGGGGAGCTGGAAAAATTGTCCACGATTGGCAGCTGCCGGGCATCTCAAGTCGTTTTTTCATGCATTGCCCTAAGC